CCCCCCCCCCACCCCATTCTAATGATGTGTCATTTCCTGCTTCAGTCTCCCATCAGCCACTGCGGTAGAAGTCCACAGAATCAGAGGTGAAGTTTAAAGATTGACACTGCCTATACTCTTCACTTAACCCAAGAAGCCACTGGAAATCGCCCAAAGACCCACTGGGGGAGATGGACACTGTTTCCCAGAAGTAAATACAGCTCAGCTTGTACTTTGGAACAATTGGTCAACCTTGCTACTTGCACAATCTGTCGGCAAAGGTTATGCGGTGCCTGAACATGATCATGGCAGAACCACCGGGCCTCATCACCATCTGCCTTTTAGGATATCTACTCGGTGCTGACTGTACAGGTTGGTTTCCTTTTTCAAGATACACTGTATGCTTGTCTTTTAGATATAGAAATGTCTGGTGCTATATTTTCCACTAAACAGTGATTACAGGATTTGACAGCAACGTTTACGATCTCAGTCATCAGCATGTGAGTTGGTAAGTACCAGTTCTCTAGTATCGGTGTCTTCTTAATGGCGAAAACTAGATTTACAATGCCTATGGTACTGTTTTCTTTTTTAACGGACACTGTTAGCCTTATGATTTGGCCAGGTAAATTTGCTTTGTAAACAGTCATCTCCTGGGTTAAAGAAAAATAAAAGTGGGAAAACGTTTTAACCAGGAAACAGCAGAATATGAAACACATTAACTCTGTCATGTGGTTTTGTTTTTTTTTTTTTTTTTACTCACCACTTTGAGATCAAAACGGGACACATGAAAGCCACAATGGTTTTATTTACAGAAAGAGCTTGATTTTTAAGATATCTGGTACAGTTCAAAATGTTAGAACTATAAAATGCGGCAGGCTTGTGGCTTTAAATATCCATAAACTCATACACTTCCAATTTTAAGTGTTACTTAAAACGAAGTCTTCGTTACTAAGTTGTTATTTATCCCTAAACTTTTTCATGGATTAGGAGCAATTCTTTTGTCTCTGCTTCTAAACATCTCGGAGTTAATACAGGGGGAAACCCAATACTCACTTGAGCAAAACGAGTCCAAGACTGACATAAGGAGTGGGAACAGAGTGAATGCGATGCATATCGCTTGGTTTTTTCACAACTTCAGTGACTTTTTAAATTTTTTTTAATGTCTATTTACTTTTGAGAGAGAGACAGACAGATAGAGATTGCATGCAAGCAGGGGAGGGACAGAGAGAGAGGGAGCCCAGAATCGGAAGCAGGCTCCAGGCTCTGAGCTGTCAGCACAGAGCCCGACGTGGGACCCGAACTCATGGACCGTGAGATCATGACCTGAGCTGAAGTCACCCAGACTGAGCCACCCAGGCGCCCCTCAACTTCAATGACTTTATGCACTTCCCAAAGGCAGGCACACAGGGAAGGAATTACCCCATCTAGGCAAACGGCGTGTTCTCACAGGAAGCATTTATCGCCCTTACTTGTCAACCCACTATAATCAAATCTAGCAGCTGACAGTGCCGGGATCAGGGTGCCAACCCCAAGGGTCCCTGGAAAGCAGACTGGCCCCGTGCTTCCCACTCCAGACATGATGGCACACTGAAATGCAGAAATGATGGTACGAGAAGGCAAAGGTTAAATCAAACTGGCAAAGTGGGTACAGTGAAGAAATTTAGCCGGAAAATTCACCAAATGGGACATAAGGCTAAGTCTTTACACGTAGCTCATCAGTGTGAGATCTAGGACCACAAAAGATCCAAGCCCTTCCTTCAAGATAAGTGGTGAGATAAAGGAGGTTTCTGGAAGGCTACTGCTCCCTTGAAGACCTCAGACGTTGGGGGAGAGAAAAGAATAGGTATGGAGCGGGGACGGGGAGTAGGATTTCAGAGCTGGGGAAATAATGGCTAGAAGACATAAAGCTGAAGAGAGGCTAAATATATGACCGTCAAACAATTGTGTAGAAAGGCAGTGTGATTCTGGAGTCACTGCAGTCAGAGATAACAGGCCCTGGAGGAGAGAGCCGAGGGAATTTCCCAAAGGATGGACAGTTCTAATGCAGCGCTCTCTTCTGCTGTTAAGCGGTCACTGGCTTCTAAGAGCGGTTTCTATGAATGACTTACGGAGATGTTACATTTTCATGACTGCTGCCACTAGGCATTATTTGCATCAGTTTAGAATTTTGAAATCAAACTCGTTCTGCAGAACTAATTCGATTTTGTAACGTATACGGACTGAAGGGGTCTTTCATTCAGAACGAATGCATGAAATGAATGAATGAAAGAAAGACAGCCTCGGTCCATATGCTTTGCAGAACTTCACAAGACTGAGTGACCACGGTGCCAGGTACTGGGGTGAGGTATCAGGGGCGTAGGGATCATCTGGACTCCCTCTTTGAGCTAAAGTATCGTGAGGTCAGGTGAGAGATTTCAATGTAACGTGACAACATGTGTACCAGGAACACAAAGGGATACATTAACTGTGGAAACACTCGGCACAGAGACAGTATTTGGGGCTGGATCTTAAAAGAGGAGTAGGTTCACTGTCCTTTAATGTCTGATCTAGGGCATCCTACGCAAAGAGACTCACTCCCGTGCAAAGATCCAGATCCACAAAGAATGTGAGGTCTTTCAGGAACTCAGGGTGTTGTGAATATTAAATATGACAAGCGAGGTAGGATAGCTAGACAGGGTCAGGTCACCAGATAACAAAGGCCTGAAACTAAGGAGTTTGGACAACAGAGCCCAACTGTCGGGTCAACGGACGTGGAAACGTGAATGGCGCTGATGATGGCTGATCTAGAATGCTCGGTCTGGCAACATTTTTATCATTTTTTTCTTATTGCATTTTTCATTTTCATTCCTGTGTAGTTAACATAGAGTGTTACATTAGTTTCAGGTGTACAATATAGTGATTCAGCAATTCTCTACATTACTTGGTGCTCACCGTGACAAGTGCACTCTTTAGGCGCCATCACCTATCACGAGTCTGGCAACATTCTAGTGAACTGTTGGAGGGAGGGGTGGCGAGACACGGAGTGACCGTCTTGAGGCCACTGCAATCATCCTGGGAAGGCACGAGGGGCCGGAGCCTGGACATTAGTTGTGCAGAGAAGAAGGGAAGGAAATCAGGTGACATCCAGGACGTAGAAAGGACAGGGCTTTTACCCCTCTGGCTGTGGAAGGGGTACAGGTTCAGACAAGTGTGGAGTACACATCTGGGGCATCTGATGTGATTCCAGGACACAGAGTGGTACCTCCGAGCGTGGACTGGGCAGTCTGACTGCCAAAGTCTAAACCCTGGTTCTGACACTTCAGTGTGTTACCCAGGGCCAATTACTTAAACCTCTGTGAACATCCATTTTCCTCCTTTACAAAAATGAGATGTCGGGATCAATCTCATGGGGCTGCTGTGAGGATGGAATGAAATGATGGCTGCAAAGCACAGAGCATCACGTCCAGCACTGCAGAAGCATTAGATAATCATCAGCTCTGATTCGTCGCATGACAATGCACAGTTAGGGAGCTGGGAAGATGATCTGGAATTCAGAAGATGTATCTGACTAGAGATGGCTATTTGGAGCCCGTCGTTGTCGGGGCGCCTGGGTGGCTCACGGGGTTAAGCGTCCGACTTCAGCTCAGGTCATGATCTTGCGGTTCGTGAGTTCGAGCCCCACGTCGGGCTCTGTGCTGACAGCTCGGAGCCTGGAGCCTGCTTCGGATTCTCTGTCTCCCCTTCTCTCTGCCTCATGCTCTGTTTCTCAATAATAAATAAACATCAAAAAAAATTAAAATGGAAAAAAACAAAACAAAAAAACGGAGCCCACCGTTGTAGAAACCGCACTTACAACCGTGTGTGAGGATCCAGGGAGGGAGCACGGATAATGTGGTATCGAGCACAGCGCCTGACTGCAGTGAGCGCTCAGAAAATGGTGTTGAGGGGCGCCTGGGGGGCTCAATCAGTTAAGTAGCCGGCTCTCGGTTTCAGCTCAGGTCATGATCTCATAGTTCGTAGGTTCGAGCCCCACGTCAGGCTCCACGCTAAAAGCACGGGACCTACTTGGGAGTCTCTCTCTCTCTCTCTCTCTCTCTCTCAAAACAAATAAACTTTAAAAAAAGAAAAAGAAAATAGTGTTGAAAGAGTCAGGGCTGGACTAGGGTGAGGCAATCAAGGCACACAGAGCATAAATGTACTTGCACACACCGAGAGAGAGCGTCTCCTTAAGTTCTGTGCCCCAGATGACTCGGGTACCTTGCCTGAGTCCCAGCCCTGGTAGAGTCGAATGGCATGAAAAGCCTGAGGCAGGAACCTGGGAGAACTCTGGACATTTAAGGGGCAGGCAGGCAAAGGGGAGTGAATTGATTCGAGTGGTGGATGAGTAACAGGAGTTACAGCAAAGAGAAGAACCAGAATGGGGTGGCCTCGTGGAAAGAGAACCACGAAGTAAGAGAGACGAAGCATTAGAAATGTTACGGGGCGGTCAAGAAATGCGTGGACTCAAACTTACCCTTCAGGAGGTCACTGCCGATCCCGACAGGAGTCATTTCAGGATACGCATGGGAGCAAAGAAGGGAAAGAGCCCCAGAAAAGGGCACCAAGGAGCTACAAAGGGAATTGAGCAACAGGAAGGCAGGCCAGCACGAGAGGAGCGGGGAGAAAGAGGGCAGAGCCTGCGTCCGCCACATGCTGCGCACGCATATCCGCTCACCGATCCCCGTCCCACAACACCGTGAGCTCAATGTTCCTATCGTACGACTGCCGTACCCGTTTTGCACTTGGCCGAGGTAAAGCTTCGGCGCTCACGTCACTCGCCTGGCGTCCCCCCGGCCGACGGGTGGTCGACACGGGACTCACGTCCGGGTGGGTCGGACCTGGCTGCAAACCCGTTTCTCCGTCCGGCCCACGCTGAAATTGGACGCAGACCCAGAGGCCATGGTAGGGGCGCCCGGGGCCAAGCAAACGGATCGCCAGGCAGAGAGGAGGGCCCGCTGGGCAAGGCTGGGTGGCGGCAGTGGGTGGCTTTCTCCCACGGCGCCCGGGCTGCCTCGGAAGGCAAGATGGGCAGGTGGCCGCACTGATCTGGCGGCGGGGAACCGCAGGATCCCGAGGCACAGAAGAGGGAGCGAAGGGAACTGAGAAAGTTGGCAAGGGTTGGAAAGGAAGAGTCTGCTGCATCCAGGGAAACAAGCGATGCCCCAGAGGACTCGCAGAGCCACAGAAAAAGCGAGGTTGCCGAGGGACTAGAAGTGTCCGTAAAGTGACCAGCTGCAGGGAAACTAAGGGAATATGGTTTAGTTGGTTTTTCTTTCTTTCTCTCTCTCTCTCTCTCTCTTTCTTTTCTTTGAATTCATGAGCAAGCAGTCCCAAAATGCCTGGAAAGTTCATCTTGTAAGCACTTGGTCCTGTTGACATGGGATCGGTCCCTCGAAGAAAGGAACAACTCCGGCAACTTCTCGAGTTCCTGTCATTAATAATAGACGTGAAGGGGCACCTGGGTGGCTCAGTCGGTTAAGCATCCGATTCCGGCTCCGGTCGTGATGGCACGGTTTGGGAGTCGGAGCCCGGCATCGGGCTCCGTGCTCACAGCACAGAGCCTGCTTGGGATGCTGTCTCTCCTTCCCTCCCTGCCCCTCCCCTGCTCGCACCTTATCTCACTCTCAAAATAAATAAATAAACTTTAAAAAACAATGATAGAGATGGATGTTTTCTATATCTATCTAGAGAGAGACAAAGAGACAGAGAGAGAGAGAGAGAGTGAGTGAGTGTGGGGAGGGAGGGACGGAAGGAGACAAATAGGTTAGAGACCTCAATCCTCCAGAGTTCAGGACTGCCCCACAGGCAGGCACATCCTGAATCCCAGAGACAGACTTGTCACTGTAATTCCCGTAACACGTGCCAACCGATGGTGTTGTGAGTCTGGAAATAAACAAATTAGTGCGATGGTTTTTCTTTAACATCTAGTGAGAGGCACTGGGGTTGCATGTGCAGCGGGCCCACAATCAGGCTTCTGTTTTTCCCAGAGAAATTTGCTGCAAAGTCATTTGGGCAATCGCATCCTGAAAACACAGCCCGGCCAGGGTGATGGATCACCTTGCACGGATCTGCAATTAGCTATTTTCAAATGATGACAAAGTGTGAAGTTAACTGCTTATTTGAGAACTTTCTTTTTTCATCCAAAGTAAATCCAAATACAATTGAAAATCTGACCGTTCATTACTGGAGCTCTCTTGACTAAAAGCCAAATTGAATTTTAATTCCTAAAGCTCCGTGTGTATACAGTGCTGTGAGGACATCATAGATTTTTGGCTCTAGGCCCCAAAGATAAATTGGCTTTGGGATTCCTTGGATTAAAAACAAAGCCCTTCTTAAGAGATGTATTTAATTTTCACGATGCTTTCTTTTTCCTAAAGCTAAAGAACGGTTCTTTTAAATTGCAGTTTTTCTTGATCATGAAGATGCCACGAAAGTTCTGAGCCGGCCCAAGAGGTATAATTCAGGCAAACTGGAAGAGTTTGTTCAAGGGAACCTTGAGAGAGAATGTATGGAAGAAAAGTGTAGCTTTGAAGAAGCACGAGAAGTTTTTGAAAACACTGAAAAAACCGTGAGTATTTTCCACGTAACATACTTCAGATGCTAAGAACAGAAAACCTAAAAAGAAAAAGAAAAAAAAGAACCCTCTCTCTGAAATTTTTAAATAGCTACACACATAGATGTATGACAAATGTTACAGAAGGGAAGCAATCAAATCCAAAACATTTTAAGTACTGCCATTAACTTGTCCTTTTTTTCTTTATAGACTGAATTTTGGAAGCAGTATGTTGGTAAGCAATTAATTTTTTCCTCTGGCTGGGACACGAAACATTTGAGAATTACGTTTCTTTTCTCTGTGTAAACAGACAGTATATTAGACTCCGTCCAGAGCGTCCAACTCTTTTACTCAAGACCCAACGGTGATACATGACAGGTTTATGCCAGCATGGGAGGGATCAGCGGGCAGATAAGCTCACTCCTCCCCAGGGCTTTCAAAACATGGCGGCCAGAAGGAGGAAACTCAGGTTCCTTTGTCTGGGGACTGAATCAGAGTTCGCAGTCTTCAGCAGAGAACGTGAGAATGCTGACGGACTGAGACGTGTATTGTCTAGTACAAGTCCTCCTCCTTGTGATGGCCCCTAAGGCTCCCCGTGATGGTCCCGGCCCTCCCTTTCCACTGGCCCTGGGACCCTCTCCTCCTGCTCACCTCCTCACACACAGTGGGAAGTAGGGGGGAGAGGGGGGTGTTCCCCAGCCATCCTGGCCTCCCTGCGGCTCCCTGCACACCCCGGAAATGCTGCGGGAATGCTTTGGCTTTGGCCTTTGATCCGGCTGTTCCTTTACGGTGCCAGGTTCTCTTCTGCCAGGTTCCCCTAGGCGCGCTCCCTCCCCTCTTTCAGCTCTTCACCCGAGTCTCCATGAAGCCCACCTTGATCATCTATTAGTACTTCAGCCGCCTCCCCATAACCCCATCACCTAGCAACCGCATCCTGCTCTATTATTTTTCGTAGCACTTTTCACCATCTGAGGTAACATATAATGTTCTTATTTGTGCCACTTATTATCTATTTTCCCCACCTCGTGAGAATGTAAGCTTCCCGTTGGCGGGGGCGTCCAAGTGTTTTGTTTACTGACGTACTCCCGGTACAGAAGCGCTGAGTAAATATTTGTTGAATGGGTCGACCAAAAAGAGGAAAAGCCAAACTTTCATGACAACTGAGCTTCGCAAACTCACGTAGAATCCAGCAGCAAGATTCTGAGGCAGCGTGAGCCCCACAGGTTGACATATCTGTCTGCACGGATAAAACCTAGAGCGCAAATTCACAGAGTTTCCAACACTTTGAGATCTAATTCTATTTTCCAGTTGCTGTTCTGGGGACACTATTAGACTTATTCATAGGCTGGTAACTCATAATGTCTCCGCTTTCGTTTTTATTTTTTGAAGATGATTTTCTAAGTAGTCTCTACACCCGACATGGGGCTTGAACCCACAACCCTGAGATCAAGAGACACGTGATCTAACCGGCTGAGCCAGCCAGGTGCCCCATCCACTTTTATTTTTAAATCATGAGGAAGGACGAGGTGCACTCTATTACGTTCACTTTGCCTTTCCTTGTTAGTAATGAATGCAACCATGGCAATTCTCTCCTCAGGTAATTCCCCTGCAGTTAGCGCAAAGAAGTCTTTTTATTCTCCGTTTCTATTATATTTACAACTTTAAATCTTGTGATACATTTTTATTTTTTTCAAGATTCTATTCTTAAGTAATCTCTACAACCCAACGTGAGGCTCGAACCCACAACCCGGAGATCAAGAGTCGCATGCTCCACTGACTTGAGCCATCCAAGTGCCCCTTGGGACATGTAGTTTTTTAAGTTTATTTATTTATTTTGAGAGAGACAGAGCAAGCGCTGAAGGGGCAGAGAGAGAGGGGGAGAAAGAGAGAATCCCGAGCAGGCTCTGCGCTGTCAGCACAGAGCCTG